TCTCATGAAAAAAAAAGGCTATGACTATATTCGCTGGCTGTACTGAGAATATTTCATTAGAGCTTTCTTTCTTTAGGTTGAATTCAAGTATTTCTCCCCTAATTAAATTTAATTTAATACTTGAAAAGGAAAAGCTGAAGTTCGCCTTCACCAGAAGTTTTTTTTTTGGCAAGATTAATTCCAATTCGCTGCTGAAAAAATATTGTTTGAGTTAGGAATATAGGTTTTTTTCCATACCCATTAGCTTCTTTATTTTTACAAAGAAAACTCAATTTTGCTCAGTTTCAGCGATAAGCCAAACTTTTTAATTTGTTTTTGTTGCTCTTAGCCTGAAAAAATATTTGAAAAATTGAATAAAAGTTTTTCATTAATTCGATTTAAGCCTAAAATCGAAAATATATACCTCTCAATCATTACGTACATTAGTGTCCATTTCCTGTTACCGATTTCTCAAGGTTCAAATGACATATGACGGCTAACGGTCAATAATGTCTCAATAGTTTTTTTTTCGAGTCGTTACGTCCTGGGGAGTAATTTTTCTCCAAACTTCTTTCCTCTAGTAATAAACAGACTGCAAAAAAAAACTTTTTCGCAATGTCACGGGTAGGCAGTATTTTATTTTGTGTGACCGCAAAACGAAGATCACGAAACAATTTCATGAATGAGGGAACAGGGACCCCGTTAACTCGCATTCCTTTTTGCGCCCTAATAAGCACTCGGTGAAAAATATTCGGCAAACTTGCGTAAGTCCTGTCAGCATCCAGAATATTTATTTATTTTTGTACGAATAGTTTCCAGTTTCTTTTTTTCACCGAACATTCAGGTCAGACGTAAATAATAAGTGAGGGTCCTCGGTTGGATTGGGGACCGATACTCCTGAGAGAGTAAGTTTATATTTTCCGAAGGAAACCGAAGTTGTCATGAATTAGAAGCATTGCGTGAGCGAAATGGAATAGAAAGAAATGGCAAATTCCCTTACCTGGCGCACGTTGGTAATATAGATTTTAGGAAGCTTTTTTTTTTCATCAATAATGTATCTATGCATTACAAGCAAAATAGATGAATAAACTAAAATCCATAAAATATCTATATATCTATAGATGTAGTTACGTTATTATTGCAGTAATTAACGACCCCCAAAATTTCAGTTATTTGAGCTCTAAACGAGATTTATTGTCCATGTGCCGACCAATGATTACCGAGCAGTTGGTTCAGCAAAATGTGCTGTTAGCTGGGGCAGGTGCAAATGAATATAATATTCTACCTCCAGATTTATATTTCTTTCCAAGGTAGGAGTTTCGAATTATATAATTTTTATTTTATGGTGTTTTTTATCGCCAGGTTATATTTCATAGAATCGAGCGTCGACGGTGGTTTGAAAAAATAAATGCCCTTCACTCTGTGATATAAGGTAGAAAAAATATTGCATTCATTTATAGATCTTAATTTAATCAAGAAAACGCAAGTGCACAGTTTGATTATCATACAAAATTCTATAAATAAAACAACATACAAACAACTGCTTGTTTGTATTCTAGGAAGTTGAGACAAAGGTTTATTTAACTTAACAGGGCTGTTTTCGAGTGGCATTAACGTGTCGATGTCCAGCTATACGCTTCAAAGGTGTGGAAACCTCGCAACATCAAAGTAAACCTTTGGAAACCTCAACTATGCCTTTATTTGGTTTTGGTCTGGGCGAAATGTCCACTTTGATAAATTTTCCTGTCGGAAGTGTATGTACAGTAATTGTGGTAAAATTATGAACAGAGCAAACTCAATTTATCGTAGGCACTGAACTCGAGCCCTATTTCGACAATATTTGCTAACATTTAGTGGTTTGGGTTATACATCAATAATCAATGCTTTTGAACTTTAATAAACAAATACTAAGGGGTGTTTAGGCGACGATCGAAAGAAATATTTTAGTGGGTTAAATTGTTTGATTCTGGTTCTTATTCTTATTTTGAGATAGGCCTCTCTTCCACAATTTGTTATATGTTATTTGTTATACCCGGTGCCTCACAGACAAAATGTCTTTGTTTGCTAATAATTTTTATGAAATAAGGCGATTTATTTTGATTAGATAATTTAAGCTTTTTCAGTTAATTTTTTCAGTAAATATTGTTACGATAAATTTATCATTTTCGTAACATGTTCCATTTCTTCTAATTTTCATGATTCAATATAATATCCAGTACAAATGCAAATATCTGTTAATACGAAAAGTACTAACATACTGCCATCTAGTACCTAACAAATTAATTTTAAAATTGTGGTAGGTTTCTTCAACTATCCTCATTGATATTTTTATTTGGAGAAACTATATTTATCCTGCTTTCAGCAAATAAATGTATTTCTGTCTTTCTCTAACTTCTGATTCTGAAATGATTATTTTTAGCTTGATGACCTAATTAATTAGTGGTTTTGTGTTCCTTAAATTTAAATCATTATAATTTGTAAACAATTAGAATGATTCTAGTGTGTTCTTATCTAATTCCATTTAATCAGCGTGATGTTTCATTATTGAAGTGAAAACGGTATCTTTTGTGTGTGCTTGAGTGATGTCTTCTGATTGGTTCAATGATTACTACGCAGTTAAGTATAGAAAAACACGAGACTGGTTTTCTTCAAGGGATTTGGTTCTAAAAAGGCCCCTTCTCTGGCATACCATTGATCAGGCAAGTTGATTTTCACTTTTCATTATTTTTTTTTTTTCATCAGATTTTCTCCTAATATTTTTTAATTTATTTCATCATCAGTGTGTACTATCACTGTTGGGTTTTTATTACCTGATAAATCTTATGTTATCTACCTTCAAAATATAAGTATCATATTTTAATTTTTTATCTATTGTGAGCTTCCATTTAGTGGGGTGCCACGTTTTCCTGAGGTGAGTCAATTCAAAGTTTTGGCAAATAAATAGGTATTGGTGCTTTGGTTCTCAGAATCAATTCAATCAATCAAAAGTGTGGCATTACTGGACCATTTGCTCTAAATAGTGTCGGTGGAAACCAAATTTTTGTGTCCATCCTTATCAACACTTTGCCGAATCCAGGCAGAGACCTATATAACCATTTAATGTTCGACTTCCTCATTATCTTCTCGAGAAAGGAGAGTGCTAAAAGGGTGAATTTTAAGGAGAGGAATCCAGATAGGTTGAAAACTCATTTAAAAAGTTTCAATTGAAACATCTCAAGAATTTTGACAATCCCTGGATAAAATTTATTTCACCCTCAGCTTCATCTTGTAGTACCAATAGTAGGTACCTTAACACGGCTTAACTTAAAAGGAAAATTTATCTATTTGGGGAAAATCTAGATTTTTTTTTTATCTTGTTCAATTTTTCATTTTTTTTTTCTCAATTTTTGCCTGTTCAGCGCCGCTGCTTGAGAAGCAGCATTCTCGTCAATTATAACGAGCATCCTTTTTTATTTAATCTTGCTCTACTTACCTACTTTATAATTACTTTATTTTATCTGTTGGGATTACATAAATAATAATAATAAATGTTTGTGGACTGTAATTTCACTCTCTATTTACTTTACACAACCTTCGTTATTAATCACTTCTCGCTACTTATGAAACTAAAATAAATTGAAACAGCAAGCTCTGGCCCTGTATGGCATTTTACTCAGAACTTTATAATAGAAAATTTAAATGAAAGAAATGAAATTAGAAAAAGCTTGTGTGAGGAAAAAAACCTGGCTCTCAAAAAAGCAATTTAGGTTATGTGTTGTTTGTGATGTGTTGCTTGGAGCTATTATTTTTCTCTCGCGTTAATATTCCTGTCCTTGTCCATATCGAAAATCAGCGGTTTGTTCGGAGTTTTAAAATTCCGGAACATTATTTATTTTTTAATAACTATTCAATGGGCCACTTTCACGTGTCGGGAATATGGCAAATTATGATATTTTTTGACGCAGATACCGCAATGCAACCAAGAATGAACAATATTTTGCCAGATTTTAGTCAGATTATTAAATAAATTGAACGACATATATTACTCTGTCAGATATTGTTTTCAGGATTTTCAAGTTTGTCGATACTTCTTTATTTATTAATATTCCAACTCCTCCATTGTTATCATCATCCTTCCCCCTGTAGAGCATAGTATGCCAGGATTCCAGATGGAGGTATTGTTCTCCTTTTCTCCTTGTTTCGGCTAGTCCTACAATGTCTCAGTTTATTTTCTCCAATTCGTACTCTAATTCAACCAGACGTTCCTTAGTTCCGATTGATCTTGTGTTGTAAGTTTGCAATGCTTAATAAGCAATTTGTTGTAGTCTTGCTAGGTCCATTTTTATTTTGTTTTTTCTCTATGGATGTCGTTCTTGTGCCTCCCCCAGAATCCACGAGGCTGACCGAAGTATCGGTGTGGGATTGTGAGGTACCTCTACTCACCTGGGGTACTTTTTTTCGTTTTGAAGTCGACATATTTGCTGTTGAAAGGTTTTGGCAATTAAAACACCACTTGGTGAGTTTTTGTATCAGTCGCTCCTAACCTGGAGAACAGACGCTGTTTGTAGCCGCCCACTCTGGATCAGAAGCTGCGTGGGAATCTTCTAGGTTTCACCTTCATCTCTTCGAGACCCTATCGGCATGGGTGGCCCTACCGGTAGCTAGGCTTCCGCCGACATCGCTCCCTGGATAAAGGTTACTCAGCCCTCTCACCACGTCAAGGTCAAGAATCCCCTAGAGAGGGGAGCGCATTCTATATTTCATCGGTTTGTTTGTCGTCTTGCAATTCGAGGTTTTACCCGTCAAACTTCATGCTTTTTACATTTGTCTTCAACTCTCAAGAACAGCAGATGAAACTCATCTTCTGCATTTTGACGTATGTGTTCTTATTTTTCTTTGGGTAAATTTGCATGTTTTATAGCTAGTCCAAGATCTAGTTCTACTGACTGTAGTTATTTGCTTAGTATAATGCTATAACTAAAAATTGTTTCTGATACATAAAGTGAAAATAAAAATGGACATGAAAGAATAGCATTGAGAAGTCAATTCGCATCAGTAGATGCATCTTTATCTTCCCAAGAGGATACTTCAGTTATTGCAGCACACACACAATCAAATAATTCGATAAATATTATCACAGAGTCATGACGCTGAACCCATCTAGTAGGACACATTTCTTTCAGGTTTTGTTTCTTTGAATCTGGGCACAATTCTCCTATCATTTTTTCAAGTACCAGCTGTCTTTTGGGATAGTTGAAAAATACGCAAACTTTCTCCAGTGTTCCCATACAGTTCCAAATATCTTTCATATTGCAACTATCGGTAATTACCAAATTCAAGCAATGGGCAACATGAGCGTACACTGCCTTTGGATTTAGATTCGATATCCGTGCCTGAATTCCGCTTACTTTTCCACTAATTGCTGTCGTCCCATCGTACCCCTGTCCTCTTATATCAGCCTCTTTTAAACCTAAACTGTCGAGCTTTAATATTAACTCATTGGCTAATGCTTCTCCAGTAGCAGCAGTAAGAAAAACTAAGCAAAAAAAATTTTCAAAAATTTTAAATTCTGTGTAATTAATGTATCCAACACAAATCGATAATTGTTGGATAGAAGAAATATCGGTCGTCTCATCTGCTAGAACATTGAAAAATTTAGCAGCTTCTACTTTTCTTACAATATCTTTTTGAATCATAGTACCAAAATATTCAATCAATTCATTTAGAATCCTCCAACTAGTATACAAGGCGTTTTCGGAAGTACTTTTTAAGTGATATTGGAACTAGTCTTTTCCTATATTTTCCATGCATCCTTCCTGTTCATCTTTTTTCAACTAGACGTTCCCGGATTTAGGCTTTTTACTAAAAAAAATGGTTATTGTGAGTTGTTTTCTTTTTTCCATTTTACTGAAAAAAAAGACAAGTTTTATTATTATAAATACATACTTATTGTGGCGGAAAATATGAAAAAAGTTAAGTGGACTGTATGATTTGAAAAAAAAAAAAAAAAATTTAAACCCGGTACGCACAGATCACTTACCTTTGAAAAGGGTTTCTGTTGGTTCTCTGGGTACTGGTCCAAAATGAAAAGTGTTGACTGTAGCAGAGTACTATGTAGCTTCTTAGGGCAATAAAATAGGGCCAGTTTCGTTGTATTGGCCGAACCGTCCAATATGACACGAATTTGTATGGGTCGCATAGCTAGTGTAGTTGTCTTCTCTGCGGCCGATAATTAGACTATGAGATAGGGACTGTTTAATGGAGTCATTTTTTTTTTGTCTGGCATTTTGAAGGCTGAATGTGGCTAGTTAGCTGATGAGAATATGGGTGATTTTAATGCCTACCACCCGTTCGAAAATTTGGAGAAGAAAAAAATTGATTTACATGAAGATTTTTTTTAATGATCTCGAGTTTTCTGGCTTTTAAATTAAAGATTGACATTGATAAATAATTCACCAATAAAAAGTACCAGATGCTTTTCAATAGCTGAAAAAGTGGGAATGAGTGTCAACTTCCAAGAGAAAAGGAAATAAACTTCCGCGTTTACTTTTTGTCTGGCAATCGAGAGAATAAAAGGTTTTGTTGTGAGATTAACGATGAAAAATCGCCAGACGGTAATCACAGTTCGAAATCGAGCAAATCCGCAAAACATTCTGTGGACATTTCGAATAGGGAGCAGGCATTGAAAGCACTTATATTGTCATCAGCTAACTGACCGGGAGTTAGACGGATATGAGTATGCAAAATGTGAGGACCTGCAAAAATGCTCAAATTCGTATTCCTCTGATCCTAAAGAATGGGAAAGTACATGTTGCCGGCAGCTAGAGTGGTCCCTAAGTCTCCTGCCATCCCCCAATGCAAACTTATATGGAAAATATCACAATTTCAAGTAATTTCACAATAATTCCTATTGATTGTACCTAAGGCTTTCTTTTCAAGCACTCAAAATAAATTACCTACAACTTGTTAGATATCTCTGCAATTCTGCTCCAAAATATACACAAGTAAAAGCAGACTGCGAGATGTTGTTACGATAAATTTATCATTTACGTAACATGTTCCATCTCTTCTTATTTTCATTATAAAGTAGTATTTTTTCCATTTCAGAATCATCCAAATAATCTAAAATATCCTCAAATTCAAATTTAAATTCAAATTCAAATAATACAAGTGCTGCCATCTATCTATCATGTCCGTAAAGTGCGGATATCTTACCGGTACTGCCATCTAGTACCCGATGGATTTATTTTTCAAACTATGATTTTTGGTTAATTCGCATTTGATAGTCATTTGTATTTTCATTGAAAGAAATTATATTTATCTCACTTTTAGCAAATGGATATATTTCTGTCCTTTTCTAACTTCTGATTCTCAAATAATCATTTTTTGGCTTAATGATCTAATTAATTAACAGTTTTTTATTTTTGACATAACCTTAATTTAAAGTATTATAATTTGTAAACAAGTAATAGTTATTTACCTAACAAATGCGGAAAGTGATACTTTACCGCACGCAACGGCAGTTGACCGAACGACGCGAAGCGGAGTTCGGTCAAACCGTTAAGTGCGGTAAAGGCACTTTCCGCATGTGTTGGGTACAAAATTTTACCTATGAGCATCTACATCTCCAAAAAAAGGCATTGATAAAATTAATTAATGAATCAGATTAATTATTGAAATTAGATAAGATTTAGAAATGATCAAAAATCCATTTTCTGAAAGAGAGAGGATTTTTTATTATAAATATCAAATTCTACTTTACCGCACACTATGCGGTAAAGTGCACTTTACCGCACACTTTGTATTCTACTTTACCGCATACTATGCTGTAAAGTTAACTTTACCGCACACTATGCGGTAAAGTGCACTTTACCGCATAGTGTGCGGTAAAGTGATACTTTCCATTTGCAAATACGTGCGGTAAAGTGCACTTTACCGCACGCTCATAGGTAAAATAATTTTAGTGGATTTTTATCCATTCTGTTTTATTCCATGCGGTCTTTCATTGTGTTTTCATTGTGAAGTGAGTATGGTCTTTTGGGCGTACTCGTCTGATTGGCTGAAGCTGGTTGGAATGCAGTGAAGTATAAAAAACACGGGATCGTTTTCCTGTTGGCTTTGGTTTCTAAAACGTCCTCTTTCCTTGATAAACAGTCTGGCAGGCGAGTCCTCTTTATTTTTAAATAATTTTTGCTTTGAATTTCTGGATCCTCCCTTATAGATTTTTCAATATTCATATTATCATATCTTTATTAAGTTTTTACCTGATAAATCTTAACTGTTTTTGAAATATAAATATTATATTTTATGTTTTTTTTTTTTAAATCTAATTGTTGGGTTCCATTTTGTGTGAATTGCTTATTAGTTAGTGCCACGTTTTGTTGAGAGGTAAGTCAACACAGATTTTTGGATTTTAAATAGGTACTGCTGTCCTGGTTTTCAGAATCAATTTTCAGTGTGGGAATATTGGACCATTTGCTCTAAATAGAGTCGGTTAGAACCAAATTTGTGAGTCCATCCCCATTAACTCTTTATTGAATCCAAGCAGAGGCCTGAACAACCATTTTCTGTTTGACTCCCTAAATTATTATCTCAACAAAAGGGTGTAATTTTTTAATAGAAATCCAGACAGGTCAAAAATTCAGTTAAAAAGTTTTAATTAAAACATCTGACACATTCTGGATTTGATTAATTTCAACCCCAGGTTTATCTAGTATCTGTGGCAGCTACCTTAATTCGAGAGGAAAATGTTGTCTATTTAGGAGAGAATCTAGAGATTTATTTTCTTTTTATTGCTTTATGTACCTTATATTTTTGCTCATACTTTTTGCTCGTATTTTTGCCTGCCAGAACTGGAAAGCAGCATTTTTGCTCAATTATAACGAGCATTATAATTTCAATTTCCTTTGCAAGACACTCACTTTTTGACAGAATTCAGGAATTTAATGTTCCAAATATTGGTGAACCTGATACAGCCTTATTCTTTTCTGGGTACCTACTCTACATAAAGATCACTGTTTGGAGTCTGGATCAGCTGGTTTGACGTCACCCCAGCAATCTATCCTCTTCCTGGATACAGGAAACAACACGAAGAGCTCCAGTTCACGAAAGTGAAACCCCAACACCCATTGAAGAGCTCCGGATTGGAAAGCAGGTACTTGGTATCAGATTCACCAAGAAAAACCAAGCTGTTAACACTGAAATTTTACATTGGACATTGTAAACAAAATAAAATTATTGTTTGTTGGATTTTGAGTGGTTTCATTTGCAAACAAAGGGGCTACACGTTATCTTAATTTTTCTTTGAATTCACGACCCTACACTGAGAGAATTAATTTTAGACCATTATAAAAATCTTAATAACCTTAATAAAAATATCGTATAAAATGGGGGACAGATAAGCGCTGTAGTTACCATTATAAAAGTCACTTTATAAACTACTACTATGCTACCATTGATAGACCAATTTACTGAAATCGCCTAAAGACCATTAAAAATTTATAAACACGAGTCACAATAAAATAGCTTTGAATGGCTAAAAAACGGTTTTTTAACTGTCAATAAATATTTGATGATGGTTATTAAACTGTATATTAACCCTTAATATATATTATAAGGGATAATATAAACATTTTAATAATAACAGATGAATATCTTTATACCATTAATATTTTTTTTTAACCACCAAAAATTCCTTTTATAATCATAACAAGATAACCTTATAAGGCCCAGTTATAAAATCTTGGTTAAAAACAGAGTTCAGCTGAACTCGACTGGTACTTGAACTTCTCCATTTAAAATACATTGCTGTCAGCTATTAATCAAATTCTAGCTATTTTTGACAGCAATGCATTTCAAATGGGGAAGTTCAAGTAGATACCAGTCGAGTTCAGCTGAACTCTGTTTTGAACCAAGATTGTACAACTGGGCCTAAGGGTTATTAAAAATGTTATGGTACTATTATATTGCATTTGGGAAGAGGTAATAATAAAAGACAATGGGTATTTTTTAAATCAAACTTTTATTAATTGTTGATACCTACATATTATTATATGGTGATCTTGAAAATATAAAAGCTGCATCTACAGTAATCACATAAACTAACAAAATTTCGAATCGTATATGTATACCTACGTAACTACTTAAGTATATATATATAAAAAATACCACTTGCAAAAAGCAAAAGCAGGTAATAAGAGAGTTTTCATTTTTAATTTATATTTTCTCAAAAAGGACTCTTGTTTTTAAAAAAAAAGAACGCAGAAAATCCTAGCTTCAGTTGCTTTGTGCAATGATTATTCCAAATCTGAAAATTAATGAAAGCATTGAGGGGGATATATTTATACCTAGTCAGAGCTCACCCACTCTAGAAGGGCAACTTTACACGCCATTGTCAGACCAGTGCCAGTGTAAATCCAAAATCCAAGGTTATAAATGATAAATAATTCAAAATGATTTAAATAATTCACCAACGGCACCAACGCAACGCACTAACTAATCAACGCTTACAGCAAAAAATGGCGCGACGACACGACACAAATACCTGATCACAAATGAGCGGGCTCATGCTACATGCTTGACCGGAAGCAATAATTGGAATGCACAGGAAAATTACAAAATAAGCCATTATGGCCGCTTCGGGTTGTTTCGCGAATAGCCGAAGCCAATAACGGCCCGCTTAAGTTTATTATGGCTA